TTATTCTTGAATGTACTGTGATGTCAATAAAGCTCTTTAGTTCATTTTTGTTAAAATTCTTGACCTTAATTTTATGATTTTAATCTAAGGAACGTACTTTTATAAAAAGGCAGCTGGAATTTTGTATAACAGGTTTTAAAGGTACTTCCTCCCACCTTCCCCAAAGAAAATGGGTTTTAACTTAGTTTGTCAAAGTTTGTAAATTGTACCCACGGACTTTTGTCAAATTCCAACTTTAAGGGTGTGGAAGAGGGCCAGAAATAGACCTATACTTTTATTTGGAAACATTTGATGGATTTCTAAATTTCCTATTTTAGAGATTTTTCAAGTAATCTATTCTCTGCGTGTATAAAGTTTGGTTCACTCCTGTAAAATCAAGTTGCTGGAATCAATCAAGCCAGTGCATCAGTAGAGTTACTTGTAAGGAATGGTTTGTTTGACACTAATGGTCAAGTCTCGAACTATATTCTGCAGTCACCCACATCTGTTTTAGAAGAATATTTAAACACTTGGGGTTATCATAGAAATAAGACTCACAATTCAATATATTTATTTATTTTTGAAGTATATTATGACCTCAGCTCAATAGAGGAATGCTGTATTATGCAGGTTTGTGTCAATTTCATAATATTAAAATAGTCTGATTTTGTCAGTTTTTTAAAAATAATGATCATTGAGTTGTCTAACAGTTTAAGTTAGTGGCCTAACAGTTTAACTTATGAGTAGAACAGGGCTCTTGAGGCTTTCAAATGCTCAACTGCTTTCAGGGTCCGTTTTTAATCATTTTTCACTTATATATTGGTAGCTGAATCTCTGAAACAAATGCTTTTAAATTTTAATTTAAAAAGAAAAGCAGGTACACATCACAGAAAAAGTTGTTGAAATATGCCTTCTTACCAGCAATAGTTCATTTTAAAAACAATGCCAGATTTTTGCCAAGATCAGTGTTTTCCTCAGAATGAAAATAGAAATAGATTTGTATAGTGTGATCTTGTACCTCTCTATATAGGTTCTTAAATAATTTTGAGCAGTTATGCATTTATCTAACGGAAATAAACCAACTGTGAATAAATGCATGTTACCAAAATGGCTGTTTACAGTGCATTTAGTTCTGATATTTATAAAGTTGACATTTCACAGAATAACTTTAAAATAGTTTGGAATTCTATATAGTTTAGACATCAGTAATATCTGGAAGCAAAATAAAGAAAAATGTGCAATATTTTTTATGTAGGTGAGCTAACCGTGTTCCTAATTGCAGAATTATCTGATTAATTTGTAATAGATAAGTTGTATAACATTTTCATATTTTCAAATGTTTTTTAGATAATCTTCAAGTGAAATATTATTTTCAAAATAAAATCTTACAGAAAAATTCTGGCTATGATATGCACATTTTTGGGCACGATAAGATCTAGAGCCAAAAGTACCATTTGACAGTTTTCTTTGCCATAATTTGAAAACTTACCAGTTAAATCTGTAGATTTTTTTAAAAAAAGTCATGGGATCCAGCAGGTGGCATGATGGTTATGGCACTGGATTCCCACATGGCTGATGGCAACTTGAAAATCATGCCAGGTGCCAGGCACGTGTACATGCGTGCCCAAAATCCCAAGAGGAAAGCAGGGGAGAAGGGATTGCAGCATGGCCATCATCCCTGGGGTAGGGGAGGGTGGGGGACAGATGGAATTCTCACTTTTCCTCTGTCTCTGTTTCCAGTTTCTCCCTATGGCAAAGATCTTAAGGGAAAAAAAAAAATCATGACATTCGTGATTATCAGTGTCTGTTATAATTAGATATTTGGGTTTTTCAGATTTTTATGGATATTAGGGAATTCATTCTTTATATGTTTACCTCAAATGGCAAGATTTTACAAAATAGTGCTTCCATGATTTGAGATGTGAATGCTGAAGTCTACACATTAATTATATGTATAATTTGTTTACAAAATCTTTTCTAAAATTATACCACCAGAAAATTAACAGAGTCCATTTTTAAGACAGTCGTTGGTCTGGGTTGGTTAATAAAAACTGTTTTAATGGGTTATTTTAAAAAACATTAATATTTCTAGTGTATTAATGATACTTGTTTTGGTGGAGTGGGAGTAAACCACACCATCAAGAGAATAAAATACAATTTAGAAGAGGTAATTACAAGATTTGTTTCAGGCCCCAAAATATAAATAAAGATTGGTGTGGAATCTCATTAATGTATATGTTTTCTGCGATTGTAAAATGTCTGTTTTAGCATGTATTGCCAGTGGTATAACACACAGTACGTAAATTTTCCAAACATAGTCTACTTTTAGTGTTTTGAGTTATTTGCTGATTCAAAAAAAAAAGCACATGAAGTATAATGGGAAAGAGATTTATTTGGATTTTTTTTCTTTTTTAAAAAATATGTATTATTATTAATTACCAGCGAGTACATTTGCCAGAAAGACAGGGAGAAAGTACTCTGAAGAAAGCACTCTCTGACGGGGCGTGGTTATGGCGCAGTCCCTTCTCTTTCTCCATACTGTTAGGACCTTGGGCATACATGCACACTGAGCTGGCCATGTCCCTCAAGCCATAGGAACCAAGACTGAACCACAGCTGTCCACATGGGGTCTAGTTCTCTCAACCACCAGGCTACAGGGCTGGCCTGTATTTAGATTTGGTGTGAGGGGTTGCTATGGGGCTCGTGGGCTCCAGAAAGAGAAAGCAAGAAATCACCCCCCAACCCCCAGGAGGGATGGGCATGCACATGCTCAACGTGAGTTTACGGCCCCAGGTCCAGAACGCCAACTGTGGTGGACTACATGGGAGTCCAGCAACATAGCCATTATGCCAACTGCTGGTTCCCTGTATTTGGATATTTTTACATAATTACATTAGGTCCAAAGGCCCTGTAATACTGCCTTATGGAAATCTGTACATTTAAACTTGACTTTACTACATAAAATGTATTTTAATTCATTATAGTTTCTAAAATGTGTACATAAACTAAGTATAGTTTAATAGAAGTAGTATTAGAATCTTTGGCTTGCCCTGGCCCTGCTACTTGATGTATTTTAGGCAAATCACCGTGGGCCTCAATTTCTTTAATTGTGTAAGGGAGGAATTAGATTAAAGTCTTGGACATTTCTAGACCTAAGTTCTTCCCGTTTTAAATAGCATTTGGTTGTAAAGTTCAAAGTCTGAAAAAGAGGATGGACTTTATTGTTGGTGCTTAAAGTAATACACACATGATTTACATTTATACCATGAAGACTTACCAGAAGTCTCCCAAAGAATTTTTTTGTAAACACACATTGGTTAAAGCTGCTACTTTCTGATTATGGTAATGTAAGTTATGATAAAATTATTCTAAGTTACTAATTTATGTAAAATTTTTGAGTAAATAGGAAAATTTGTTACTAAGTGGGTGTATGAGGAGTCTTAAAGTCTTAAAGTATGAAAAAGTATAAAAAACAATTTCAATTTTTTTGCACCAAAGTTAAATACATTTCTCTGTGAACTTTTTGAAGGCCCTTTATATAATATATCATTTCAAAGTGATAAAACTGTTAGCTCTTGGGGCCTGCAGGTGGTATAGTAGTTATGGTGCTGAACTTCCTCATGGCCAACCAAAGTTCAAGTCCTAGACCCATGGCTTGAAACTCAAGTCAAGCATGTGTGTGTGTGTGTGTGTGTGTGTGTGTGTGTGTGCGCGCGCGCCCCCAAAATCCCAAGAGGAGAACCAAAGAGAAGGAAGTGTGGCGTTGCCATTGCCCCTGGGGGAAGGGGGAGGTGATTTCTTATAAAGTGTATTTCCTCTTTCTGTCTCCCTTGAGTGCATACGCCCTGTGGCAAAAATCTCTCTTAAAAAAAAAAAAAAAAGCTGTTAAAAAGAGTGCCTTCCCATAAGTAGGATTTTAAAAATTACATAAGAGTTGTAAAATTGAATTGTAAAATACTTAATAGGTGTTAGAGTAGTTTAACAGTACAAGTATTGTTAAACCTATACAGATAATCTGGGACATATCACCAACAATGATATGCTGCTAAAATTAGAGCCAGCACTACTTTTCAACACAACTTTTGGTTTAAGGGTCATTGTAGAGAAAAGTACTGTGAGCAAGCTTTGCAAATCTTGGGTCATAATTTTGGAGTCCCGAAGGGTTTTTGCTTCCTGTCTCTGTTCAGGCTAATCACTAATGCCTTTGTTACTTAACTGAAAGTGTAGTGGGGAGGCTCTGACCCAGTGAGGATGTGGGGTGTACGTTCAAGAAAATACATTTTAAATAAAGCTCTCATCTTTACGTACTTGGATTTTGCTTTTTTCCCTTGGACCTGTCACTCCAATGGATATACATAACACATGCTAAATTTTCTTTTGTGCAGAGCTTTCTGTTTCATTTGGAAAGATGGTCACGTATCTAAGGAGAGGGGATCTTGAAGAGGTTACAGAAACAGAAAAGTCTGCATTTGCTCTTAGGAGGAGGTCCACATTTTAGCTAGAGTCATAGATGAGCCAGAAATGAAAGACTATTCCTGAGTAGTAAATTTCACCAATTTAACCCTGCCTATTGGAAATAGAGTAATAGTTTTGCCTTAAATGTTGAAAATTTACTGTTCTTATTCAAGGAATGGCTTTTGTGTATTTACACCAAGACGTTGCTGACCTCTGTTGGTAGCTCTAAATGAAGTTACCTAGACTGAATCGTAACAGTCTCCTATTAATACATAACGTATACCTGCCCAGGACATTAGCAGATCACTTACATAAAATAAATGTTAGATTTGGACTTAATGGCCCTCTGTGCTATTTGAGTGCCTTGAAAGGGGAAGCAATTCTGTTCTTAGGGAAGAGGGCATCGTCGTCGGTGTCTTAGGGAAATATACATGCTAAGGAGAGGCATTTGTTAAGTGTGAAGTAGAGCTACACGTAATAAAGGTCACAGCGCAAAATAGTGGTATAATGTCTACTCCGAGGTTTGAGGGAATCCTCATAATAAGCAAAATAGACCTTAAAGGGTCGTTTACAAGAATAAAAACGGTTTCACTACACGCCTTCCTTGCTGCGTGTTGTAGAAGTCATCGCCACATACAGAACAGAAATGCAATCCTAAAAGCAGGCTGCAGAGGGCGAGAGTGCGTATCGGAACCTTTTCGTTGGAGAGATTTCGCAGGAGGGACCGGAAGAGTGTTGGGTTCCCTTGTCGCGATGTGGGGAGTCCGCAGGCTGAGCTCCTCCGGAGGTCGTTTCGTAGGGGTGCGTGGGCCCGAGTGCCGGGGCGCACTAGCCGAGCGCCCTCGCTCAGCCTCGTCGGCGGGTGAGTGTGTACAGGGTGCCCTCGCGTGGAGGGCGCTGGGGGCTCGGGGCTCTGCGCTCTACGCGGAGGAGGGCGGCGGGCTTTCGCTCGACTCCGCGTCGTGTCAGCGACTTTGGCTTGGCTCTTGGTCTTCTTTTCTCCCCCGAATAGTCCTAGACCCATGGCTTGAAACTCAAGTCAAGCATGTGTGTGTGTGTGTGTGTGTGTGTGTGTGTGTGCGCGCGCGCCCCCAAAATCCCAAGAGGAGAACCAAAGAGAAGGAAGTGTGGCGTTGCCATTGCCCCTGGGGGAAGGGGGAGGTGATTTCTTATAAAGTGTATTTCCTCTTTCTGTCTCCCTTGAGTGCATACGCCCTGTGGCAAAAATCTCTCTTAAAAAAAAAAAAAAAAAGCTGTTAAAAAGAGTGCCTTCCCATAAGTAGGATTTTAAAAATTACATAAGAGTTGTAAAATTGAATTGTAAAATACTTAATAGGTGTTAGAGTAGTTTAACAGTACAAGTATTGTTAAACCTATACAGATAATCTGGGACATATCACCAACAATGATATGCTGCTAAAATTAGAGCCAGCACTACTTTTCAACACAACTTTTGGTTTAAGGGTCATTGTAGAGAAAAGTACTGTGAGCAAGCTTTGCAAATCTTGGGTCATAATTTTGGAGTCCCGAAGGGTTTTTGCTTCCTGTCTCTGTTCAGGCTAATCACTAATGCCTTTGTTACTTAACTGAAAGTGTAGTGGGGAGGCTCTGACCCAGTGAGGATGTGGGGTGTACGTTCAAGAAAATACATTTTAAATAAAGCTCTCATCTTTACGTACTTGGATTTTGCTTTTTTCCCTTGGACCTGTCACTCCAATGGATATACATAACACATGCTAAATTTTCTTTTGTGCAGAGCTTTCTGTTTCATTTGGAAAGATGGTCACGTATCTAAGGAGAGGGGATCTTGAAGAGGTTACAGAAACAGAAAAGTCTGCATTTGCTCTTAGGAGGAGGTCCACATTTTAGCTAGAGTCATAGATGAGCCAGAAATGAAAGACTATTCCTGAGTAGTAAATTTCACCAATTTAACCCTGCCTATTGGAAATAGAGTAATAGTTTTGCCTTAAATGTTGAAAATTTACTGTTCTTATTCAAGGAATGGCTTTTGTGTATTTACACCAAGACGTTGCTGACCTCTGTTGGTAGCTCTAAATGAAGTTACCTAGACTGAATCGTAACAGTCTCCTATTAATACATAACGTATACCTGCCCAGGACATTAGCAGATCACTTACATAAAATAAATGTTAGATTTGGACTTAATGGCCCTCTGTGCTATTTGAGTGCCTTGAAAGGGGAAGCAATTCTGTTCTTAGGGAAGAGGGCATCGTCGTCGGTGTCTTAGGGAAATATACATGCTAAGGAGAGGCATTTGTTAAGTGTGAAGTAGAGCTACACGTAATAAAGGTCACAGCGCAAAATAGTGGTATAATGTCTACTCCGAGGTTTGAGGGAATCCTCATAATAAGCAAAATAGACCTTAAAGGGTCGTTTACAAGAATAAAAACGGTTTCACTACACGCCTTCCTTGCTGCGTGTTGTAGAAGTCATCGCCACATACAGAACAGAAATGCAATCCTAAAAGCAGGCTGCAGAGGGCGAGAGTGCGTATCGGAACCTTTTCGTTGGAGAGATTTCGCAGGAGGGACCGGAAGAGTGTTGGGTTCCCTTGTCGCGATGTGGGGAGTCCGCAGGCTGAGCTCCTCCGGAGGTCGTTTCGTAGGGGTGCGTGGGCCCGAGTGCCGGGGCGCACTAGCCGAGCGCCCTCGCTCAGCCTCGTCGGCGGGTGAGTGTGTACAGGGTGCCCTCGCGTGGAGGGCGCTGGGGGCTCGGGGCTCTGCGCTCTACGCGGAGGAGGGCGGCGGGCTTTCGCTCGACTCCGCGTCGTGTCAGCGACTTTGGCTTGGCTCTTGGTCTTCTTTTCTCCCCCGAATACCGGCTTGACCACCCCTTCTCAGAGGCCAAGAACAAGGACCGAGGACTCTGCGTGCAGCCTGAGGGTGGCGTAGCAACCTGGGGGTGGCGTAACTCCCTGGGCCTCGCTCCGTATCCAGCGATCATTGTCTCATTTTGGTTAAATTCCTTGCCCCCGCAGTCAGCAACTCACATGTGTGTGTCCTGGAGTCTCAAGGTCGCACCTACTTTGCCAGGGCAAGGAAGACACACTAGCTGGTCTCTTGTAGTTACACATATCGTTGTATCTGTGTGGTTTATTGCACGTATCTTGCATTATAAGGAAAAAATATATTTTTTATTAATAAGTTAATTCAAGGCTATTGTAAATAAGACAATGCACTGCACTTTGTTTCTAGAACACAGTCTAATCTAATTTTTTTGTTTAAGTGTTTGCCTTAGGGTGCACTTGTGGGAGAGACAGAGACAGTCACAGGCAAAATGAGAAATCACCCTGCCTCCCATGGAGGATAGCCACACTATGATCCCTTTTCCTCCATTCTCCTCTCTGAATTTTGAGCACACGTGCACAGGCACCCTACAAGATTTTCAAGCCACTGTGTCCAGGATTGGAACCTCTGTCAGCTATCTGGGAATCTAGCATCTTAACCACCTGCCAGCGGCTGGCCCCTGTATGAAACTTGTTTCACAAATACTGCATATCTGACACTTATGGGTACTGGGAGTTTTTAAATGAATGATACTTCAAGAATTCTTTGTTTTTGAGTTTGGCTTAGGGCTGCACCGTAGCCTAGTAGTTAAGGGAGCTGGAGCTGTGGTTTGAATCCCCACTTTGGTTTGAAAAACTTGTGCTTGTGTACCTTAAATCCCAACAGGATGAGGAAAGAGAGAAGGGATTTTGGTGTGACCATGCCCCATGGGAGGGGTGTACGTGCTCTCTCTTTGTCTCTGGTGAACATGTCTTCTGGCCATTAAAAGTAAATAACTCTAGCAGTGTAAAACTCAGTGATTTGCAAGGCTGACCCACATGGAAGGATTCCTGCTTAGTGTCTAAAGACCTCTCTTGGGTATTTTGGGTGTACTAGTTCAGGGCTGGCTGGAGCTGGATCTCCCTTTTTAAAAAACACTCTTTTTTTTTTTTTTTTTTCAAA